ATCATATATATTGTAGATGCTTTACTCGAGCACAAACTCAACGAAAATCACTTACTTAATACCTACGAAGTTGGACAACTCGATGAATTTGTATACATCACTACCCTAAACAATAAAAGAGCAGTCATAAAGCCGTCAGTAGTAAGTGGCATCAAACGATTTATGTATATCCAAAAAGAGCCAACCGTCATATCGACCAACATTCAGAGTACCAAACGTTAAATCTTTTTCATCTTATATTTAAAATGTGACCGACCGAAGTGTTAAACCGTTAACGAAACATTACGGCAGGTCTATCTTCGAATCAATGAAAAGGATACAAGTATGTCTAAAACCGGCTACACATTCAAAAAAACTATTATCCACATCCATCCATTTACGCATCTAAACAGGAGTTGGTTTCAGCTCAAGAAACACGAAACATCTAGAAACGCTCCGAAAATTCCAATACCATACATGGCATGGCTTTATAAATTTATATATCGGATTATATCAGATTAATTTATTGTCAGAACATAAAAAATGAAAAAATGCAACCTCGCAAATGCAATTGAATAGTTATCTTGTTATCTTTTAATTTACATTAATGCACATTAAGTACAGTGCATTAATGAAAATTTAGAACTGTAAATTTTTTATACAGCATATACCATATTTCATTGAGTTAAAGCAATAAATATATTTTCCTATTTCCATTACTCTTTTTTTGAATGTGTTGTTAATTTTGCAAACAATAAGTAGCACATTTCCAATAAAACTCAATTACTAAATTGGTCTGTAAATGGATACATGGTCAATATGTCTCGAATAGATCGTAAGTGCTCCTGCATCACGGTTAATTAACTAGAAGTGTACTTCCCATAATTAAAATGTTTCTTATCATATTTAGAACTCATTATTACACGAGAATTGGTATATTGCTGTTATCTATTATGGCACATACGATGCATAATGCATTGAGGCGCACAAAATGAATGAAACCATGTTGCTCATAATCGAAAGAGATGTGGGTATGGTTGTTTGGATCATTCTTACTGGTACATAGACAAAATAAAAATTAAAAAGAAGAAAATATTAGATAATAATAATTACTAGAGCTAAACCAGAATTATGGGATAAACAATACACAGATATAAGCGACGTTCCTACAGCCTTTGCCGCTTCTCACATTTCAACCGCCATCGTTTTCTGTCCATCCATTCGTCTTCTTTGATGGCTCTATATCTCATGTGCCGTACATTTTCTTACCAGGCAACTGAAGACATTCCCTTCTTCTTCTTTGTTGTGTTATGTAATTTAAAGCATTTTTTGGCCATCTATCTTCATTCATTCGCTTCACGTGACCATATCACACTAGTTGTCTCGTTTCAATTTTGTCTTCACTGGAATATACAGTATTTGTCCTCCTTCTAATATCTTCATTCCTGATATGATCTTTTTTGGATACAACACACGCTCTGCTTAGAAAATCCATTTCTACTACTTCGATTCTTTTTCTATCTTTTTTCGTGATCTCCCAAATTTCTGCCCCATAAGTCATAATAGGCTCTACCAAGGTTATATTTACCATATTATTATATCATGATACGTAGTTTTTCGGTACTTAGCATGTATACAAAAAAAAAAACAATAGTGATCGAAACAAAAAAAGTACCGGATGTATCCCTTCAAAAATCACTAACACTACACTACACTGAAATACATTAGCAGAAAAATAAAAAATAATAAGAGGTGTTTCCTTTTTCATATTGATCATGATGCAGTATACAAAAGGCAAAAACGTACTATGAATTTTGTTGCTTCACTTAACTTGCTTCTACTGTAGACTTGCCGCTTTTTTAAATAGAATAAAGACTGTTTTCCAATAATAACTAAACCATGACAGCTTTTTCAGCAATCAAAAATCAAAAAAAGTAATGTTTCCATTCCCATACTTTGGCAAGTGAACCAAGACAGAAATTTTTACTCAAATTTTAATGAAATAAACTGATAAATTGTTGGTACTAAAGGCTCAAACCCTTAGTTCTGGCGGTAGAATGCCGACTACCGACTCGTTTGAAAGTCTAACCGATAATGAATAATATTTCTCACATATCACCGAAGTGAGCTTAGTGAGCGTTTTTTACGCCTTTATATATTTAAAACCTCGATAAACGCAATAAAACAAACAATAATTGTTTATTCTATTTTAAGAGACACTTAAAGTTTCTCTTTCCTGTTTGAAATTTTAAGACGCAATACCCACGTTAAGTGCCGGTTTCTAAATCAAATAAAATTTAAAATACATATGTGAATTTTAAATTTTATGTAATATGGAATTGGATATACGTGAATTAAAACTTAATAATATTTTTTGAATCGTTATCCTATAGCTGTATTAAAAGCTTCTTTACCGTTCATTTGTCATCACTTGCGTCATTATTAGGGCGGTGTAGCAGTAGGTACTAGAGGTGTGCTTATTAGTTCTTTTAGACAAACTAGTTCAACAGAACTTTTTCACAAAAATGAACTAGTTCAGTGAACTAGTTCGCGAAAGAACTATTTGTAGGACCGACATCGAAATCCAACCCTAACAGAACTGGTTGCCAAATGTCTCGTCGCAAACATCACACAAGCTCGGCGCCAGCCGCCCGTTTTCTTTCAGTCTTTCACTAGTTCACTACCGTAGAAGTAGTTCGGAACTATTTCTTTCGATCGTATGTTTAGGTTTAAATGGTTTAAATTATTTATGATTAGTTAGTTTTTATTTGCAAAAAATTATTAAGATTTGTTTTTTATTGACCGTTTTAAATATAAATATGGTTCAAGTATGATTAATTTTTATATTTTCGTTTATTTAAACTCATAGGTATTTATAATTAGGTTATTTCTAAAAGAACCTTTACAAAAAATAATCAGTGAATTTTCTAGGAACATTACATAACACATTTTCATTCTCACTTTTACATAAAATTATATTTTATGTACCTAAATGCTTCAATCATTTTAACCACAACTAAAATTTTTATTTCAAAATTACAATACAAGAAACAACACAGCATGGCAACATCAGTATGGGCATAAGATCCGAACCATTATGACATTAAGATAAGACTTAATGTTATTGTCACATTCATAAGAATTATGAATCTGTTATCTGAGGCTAATCGACATTTTTTTAAACTAGTTAGTCCATCCATTCACAAAATAATAAGTATACCTATGTTCTAATTTATTCATTCATTATTTTCTTCTTTAGAAGTTGACATAATTTATAATGCAAATCGTTCGCAGTGAACTAGTTCTATGAAAATTAATGAACTAGTTCAATTAGTTCAGTTGAAAGAATCGTTCATTAGAACTATTTCGATGGTGAACTACACATCCCTAGTAGGTACATGGTAGCATTCTTTTATCTCCTATGTATATCATAAAAATTCGATAATGTCGTACTCAATCTATTTATAAATGCATTTAATTTTTAAGCAATTATAAATAAGTCTACAAGTTTGTCTAAACATGCTCGATGCCTCAACATTTACAAGTGCAATCATTTTTTATTTCGTTTTCCTTGTCTATCCAAACATGAATTTTAAAATAATATCTGAATTATTCAACTAAAAAACGTCAAAAAAAGTGTACGTCAGGATTACCCGCTAGAATACCCAAAGTTGAGATAAATCTTTTCGCCCCGCGGTAAAGATTTTAATTCTGAAAGGTCAAAGAAGTTGAGTTAAATTTGTGGGCTTCGCGTTCGTGGGCCAAATAAATATTTACCTGCAAGTTATAGAAGTCATAAAGAAGTAAGCATTAGATTTGAAACCTCAGGGCAAACTACTGACTGGCCCCAGAGTCAAGTCTTTAAGTCTATTTTGTTCAGTTTTTTTTTTTTATGAAACAAGCTGAAATTTTTTATGGGGACAGATGATAGTCATTCTTTTTTTAATAAAAAAATTTGCCCTGTTAGTGTTCACTGAAAGTGTTATGAAAAATCCGTCAATGCATTTGGATGGGGTATTTTTTTGTATGTTTAGTACTTTCGTAATCAAATAATAATTATTTTATATTATATATTTTGTTGGTATACCAAATTGGTAGGTATATTCTATTAAGTAATAAGTTTTCATACCTATATATTATTATCATGATATGCTAATGACCGAGATAAACTCTTGACACCACAGACCGTAGGTGATTTGTGCTCGACACTTTTGATCTATTCTCATTTTTTTATTTGAATAAAATTTAGTATAAAACAAGTATTACAATACGACATTTACTAGATTGTTAAGATAAATAATACAATTATCAAGATAATTATTGTTTTTCTTCTTTATGTGCCACCTCGCGACGAAGGTTGGCAATCATCGTGGCTATTCTGATATTCGATGCGGCTGCTTTGAGTACCTAGTTTGATTGTTGTGCATCCCTACCATTCCCTCAAGTTACGCAGCCATAATATTTTTCTCCTTCCTATACTTCTCTTGCACTGGATCTTCCCACATTTGTAATAATTTAAACGTATTCACTTATTCACTGTTTTATAACGGGGTTATTAAGCAAATATTAAGTTCACTGATGATTGTCTGATCTCCAACGTTTTGAACAATTATAATCCGTTTGGATTTTTTTAATTTTAACGTTTTATTAAACATATTATACCAATAATTACATTAGAAGTTTTTACTTCACTGTAAGGGCGAGCGCCCACCAAAGTGGCGTGGCAAGTAGCACGTAGCAAGTGTCTAGCATGTTTCTTAAAATGTAACCAATGAATACGAATGATTAGAATGAATGACGTCACTGTCATTTTGGTGTGCCCCGAATCATTCGTTTTCATTGGTTACATTTTAAGAAACATGCTAGACGCGTGCTACTTGCCACTTGCCACTTGCTATGTGCCACGCCACTTTGGTGGGCGCTCTCACTTAGTATTTTACCTACTATGGTATACAGCCAACCACTGGGAACTTTCCCATTTTAAGCCTATTTTATTATTATAACTTTTTTCCTGTTCACAGGTCTTGGGCCCAATCTTGTTGGCGTCGCTCCGTCCAGGGCCGTCTACTTCTGTACATATTCGCAAGCTAAGGCCTTTTTGAACGGGGTAATGCCTCCGGATTCGCCGATCGTCCACGTATGCTCAGCATCATGTGCTGGATTCATGGCAAGTACCCTCACCAATCCCATTTGGTTTGTAAAGACTCGTCTTCAATTAGATTTTAATAGGAATAGTAACGTGACTGCTATGCAAGTCGTAAGAAGGATATATGCTTCTTCGGTAAGTTATAAATATTGCAATATTTACAATTTTTAAGATGTGCTTTCTTATGCTTTATATGTATTTGTAAATATGTATGTTATTTTTTTAATTCAATATTTTAACTTTAAGCGTAATTAGAATGTTTGTTCTTTTTTACTCTGACCTCAACTAGGATTCATCATCAATTAGCCTATATTTGTTTACTGCTAAACGTAGGTATCCTGTAAACTCTTCCACTTGTTTACACAAGTACTTCCACACGACGGAATACCGAGCGGATGGTGAAAAACATACTCTATTCTATAACCCTGTACCACACATAGAGACTTATCCTCATCTGATGGTAATTCCTGTGCAAGAGGACACCGTAAGGCAGATGCGTAACATTGGTAAAAACACATCTCGCACAGATGGCATTCACAATAGATGTCCCAAAAAACTCTTAGAGAGAATCGTTCCACTGCTAAAAAACGTAATCAATGCATGTCCAACGTTGAAATACTTTCAGATCCCTTGAAAAGTATCCCAACACTATCATCATCCCTAGACCAGGGAAGCCCAGAATCAGCAAAGGATCCTATACACAAATTTCACTTTTAAACACTCTAGATAAAGTATATGAGAGGATCCTCATTAAAACTCAGTAATTCTATTGAGTTTTACTCAATAGAATTACTAGAGGCACACTTTATCATACCAAACTTCTAATTTGTATTCAAAGCTGGACACTTCACCCAAAAAGGAATTGATTGATATAGCCACCTTTATCTCACAATCCATAAACGAACAAAATAGGTTCGCCATAGGAATTTTCTTGGACGTCTTAAAGACTTTCTACATTTCTATCTCTCCGCGCAGACAATCCGAGTTAAGGTAGCTGACAAATTCTCAATGTCATTCACTCCACTATCTGGAGTCCCCCAGTGCTCAACTTTAGCTCTAACATTATAGACAGTCTACATTAGTGATATTCTTCACGCCATAAACAGGTCAGAGTCGATCTTGCTACATTATGTTGATGATACGGCACTCCTTTCCGCAGATACCCTACGAGTAGCGATAAGACACTCGTCTGTATTCGACAGAGCTCAAAATAAATTAGGCAAAATTGTAAGATGATGCAACATATGGAGAGTCGCACTCAATTCAACCAAAACTGCTGCAGAGCGGACGAGAGGAACCAGATAGTTCTCTTAGGAGAAAGGCTAGAATTCAGACCCCCGGTGTCCTATTCAAGAGTCTATTTTAGTAGGACTCCCAATTAGGACATTGATATTAAACACACTCTAGATAGAGTCAGAAAAAGAGCTAATCTCTTTTGTCCACTGTTTAGTAAAAAAGGGTATACTAGTTCCAAAACTCATAAAACTTTTATCAGGCCAATTGTCAATTAGGCAATATCATTTTGGCAACTGAAACAAAAATCCTGCGGAAATGCATGAGAAAACGTTTCGACTATCTGCTTGCACTAATCAACCCACTCACAAACTTCCCCACTATTGAGAGCAGAATCCGTCCTCTCAGCAAGAGATATGTATCACGTAAGATAGACAGCTCTAACAACCGAGCCCAAGAGACCCTTAAAACTCCTTGTCATCGCCTAGAGCACATACTCACCAGGATCCTCATAAAAAGTTCCATTCTTCCTAGCAGCTACTCCCTTAAAAAATCGCAGGTAGAATAAGCATGATTCCCATCGTATGGCTGGTAACAGCGAGGGTGCTTTCTTCTCGAGACATGTTTTGGATTCTCCACCCACAAAATAAAACTTTCACCCATCTTCTGCTTTCTTCCGCTCAGCTAGTAGCAAATTTTTACTCTCTTGCAGCTGATATTGCTCTTCCCCCTATACTCCTTAAAAAACGAAGGGAGGCCCTACGTTGAAGAGGCATAGTGCCTAAACAAGGTTCATAATGTTCTAGATTCGATTTGGTTCATGCTATCAATCTAGTCTATTGTTCTTTTTCTGCTTGTTTGGGGGAAATATTTATTCTAGTATATTCTCAAAAGCTTTCCTCTCAGTTCTTATCTAACTTTGGTATAAATTAATATAAATACCAAAACAATCAACTGATACCATAAATTTCATATGAGATATCACAATATTAGTAAAGATATTCACCAACATTATATCATTATTGCTTCGTTGTATATTTATGTATATTTATTCTCATATATAATTGTCATTTAATCGATACATCTCAAGATTTTTTTTTATCTAACAAGGATATTCATGAAACCTTATTTGTGTAATTTTATAAATTAGATACGTGGGTTGCTGGAAAATTGAATGCCAACATTTTAATTAAGGCGTCTGTTATTCGGAGTATGTTTTTATATTAAAATTCAATTATTTTGTTTTCGTTATAAAATGGAGAATTCCGTTATAGACATTTTACGCACTTATCTGATTTCACATTGTTTTAAAAGATACTACAAATAAGATTAGCTCTAAAGTGGACTTGATAATTAAATATAGGCGGAGCAAACCATTTAGTTAACTGATAAGTCATTTCAGACCAGTCTATCTGGGAAAAAATCATTGAATCATCGATTAGTTTCATTTTTAAGATATATAAAAAAACTTTCCAAAAAAAAGACCAATAAGAAACAAGATGGCATTGTTCTTAAGATCATATTTCCATTGTTTATTAACATTAAGCATTGAAAATTGAACGGATTCTAAATGAAGATCTAAGTTTTATGATTTAACATATAAATGGTATATACAGTGAAGGAGTAAATAATTATAACCCGTTAAAGTAATTGCAATATCTCTTCTTTTATAACACGTAGGACATCTATTTTGTTTTAAACTGGATGTAAGAATTGAAGTTTAATGTTTAGTTTAGTAAAATTACACATAGACTGTTAAATAGTCCCTGTTTACTAAAACTAAAACTTAACTTAAAAATAAACCATAAATAGATAAAACATAATAAAACATGTAAAAAATAAGTTACATTGAAATAATAATAAACACTTACAAATAAGTCCAACATGACTTTATCATGACCTTAAATTGCCTTATTATATCTTTAAACATTTGTTTTTGCCGGAACCGGAAATGCGTAAATAAGCTAGCATAATTCCAAATTGCAAAAAGAAAAAAATCAGTAAAGTAACACAATAAAATGCATCTGGGTCAACACTAATACCGTGTATGCCCTTCTCTACTTCTTATGACTGCATTTATGCGTCGAGGCATGCTTGATATGAAATGTTCAACAAAAGCTTGTGGAATATTCTCCCATTCTTCAATAACGGCCTCAATGAGTTGGTTGTGATCGGCAATAGGGGGTCTACGACTTCGAATCTTTTTTTTAAGATAGTCCCATAGATGCTCTATAGGATGCATGTCTGGACTGTTAGGTGGCCAATCTAATAATGGAATATCAACATCATTTAGGTAGCCAATAACCTGTCGAGCCACATGAGGACGAGCGTTGTCTTGCATGATTAAAAAATTAGGTTCAAGAAACGGAGCAAAAGGCATTACATGTTCGACAATAATGTTGTCTAAGTAATAATGGGCATTTATAGACCTCGTACGTTAGGGGGACAGCTCCGTACGAGCTTCAAAACAATTCCCTCCCCCCCAAAACATTTTACAGCCAATACCAAAAGGTACTTTAGGAGAGATATTGCAGCTGTCAAACCTTTGTCCTCGCCTTCGCCAGACACGCTCACGGCCACCTGGAGCTTTTAGGCTTACTCTAGTCTGATCTGAGAAAAGTACTCGTTTTCAATTATCGATGGTCCAATTTTGATGGAATCTTGCAAAATTCAATCTCTGAACCCTGTGTTCTCTGTAAGCAAGGGTTTTTGGCCGGTTTCCTGTTGCTCAATTCTGCTTCATGTAAACGTCTTCTAACTGTTCGAGATGATATTGCGACATTTTGAACATCTGCTAGTTCATTTCTTAGCAAATTGCTGGTGACTCTCCTATCTCTGAGAACACGTCTCAAAAACGATCATCAATTTGATTAGTGCAACGTTTTCGCTCTTGCTCTGGTCTTCGATGGTACGACCCTCTTTCATTATATCGCCTCACCTTGCGACTGATGTTGGATTAATGTCTTCCTAACAAACCTGCAACGTATCGCATTGACTATTCTTCATCTAGGAGAGTCGATGCTCCCACTGCCTCCTCCATTGACAAATTTCTTTGGCGGTTCTTTTTTTTTACTTTTATGCAAATGAACTTCCAAACATGCATGTGATAAAAAATATCACAATAAAAAGCTTGTTTCTCACAATCACTTTGCTTTAATCGGCACTTTTTATGAAAAGTTTAACTCACTTTTAGTCTAAAACGAAGTTTAATACAAATTATTGTTAAAACATGACTATTATTAGCTTACATAACAACTGTCACTGTCAAACAAGGTCCATAGGCAACTTGTAGTACAGTAAATTATCAATAAATAAACATTATTGAGAAAAATACGAGTGGTGCATTAATTTTGTCCAGGAGTTTAGTTATTGCTAAATTGATCTCTATATAAATCATATAATAATAATACAAACATTAATAATAAATATTATTTCATGCCTAATTCTGTTTCACTGTCAAGAGTCCTCATTTGGATTATTTATTAAAATGGGTTGTATTTTATAACTTTGCATAGACAGATAGGACTGTTCAACTTTTACAATATATTGTTCTCGATTTTTGCGGCTCTAAACTGTCTACCGACATATTATTTATAATATGTCGGTAGACAGTTTTAATTAACTGTATGACAGTTTTAATTAACTGTATGACAGTAGCACTCAACTATTTTCCGCCCTCATCTTTACTTTGACTTGATGCCACATATTCTCAATAGGGTGAAATACACAATGGTACGGAGGCAGACGTAACACTGTATGCCCCATTTGCATTCCGAAGTTATCACATACATTTCACATAGTTGTTCTTTGTTATAACTAGTTTCAAAATAAATATCATTTTTATTAGATATACTGACGAATTTTAGTTTTAGAACTTGTTCTGTTTTGACAATCGTCATTCTTAATGATTATTAGGCTAATTCGCCTAATGTGTTTAGGATCTTTGTATGCGGTTATATTATATTTTACCTCTCAAGCACAACAGTTAGAAAGTTTCTGTAATATTGATCTAAACTCAGTATATTGTAATACAAACGTGTAATTTCACGTGACCATCATGCATAGACGTAAGTTGGATATTGATGAATTAATTGCAAATGTGCATAAATACTTTACCATGGAAAGAGACAATGGCGAACGCTTGTGACGCACTCGAGATAAGTGAAAGTAAGCTGAAAACTGTAAGGAAGACTGTCAGAGATTCTCAAGAAGATCTTATTGTGACTGAGTATCACAAAGAGAAAAAAAAAACAACTCGTAAACATTCTAGGAGCAATGACTTACCTGATGAAGAAAATTTTGAAATTTGCAATTTTTTGTATCGAATGCGTGAAAACAATCAACATGTCAGTTTAGATACTTTACTGGCCAAAATAAGAGAAAGACAAGTTGCTGAAATTAAGAGAATTACTTAGCCTTTGGAAAGTTTTGAGAGATTTAGGATTAAGGATTAGAAAATAATATGTTACTTTTATGCGAAAGGAGTAGTGTGGTTCACAAAAGAATTAAATTTTTGAGTGAATATACTAGAATTATATATCTGAACATTCGTATACTTAGATGAGACATGGATATTTGCAAAGGGTGAAATAATAAATAATAAAATAATTTGGCAAGACGACAGCTTAAAATCAATAAAACACACAGATAGTGAAGGCAAAAAACATCATTCTTTATGCAGGAGGGAAAGAATGCTATATAGAAAACGCAGATTTGATTTATTCTCAAAATCAAAATCTGCTGATTACCATGAAAACATGAATGCAGATATGTTGGTTAAATGGCTTGAGGAGAAACTGTTACCGAGTCTGAGTGAACTATCAGTTATATTTTTAGATAATGCACCTTACCAGTCGGAGATTTTGGTGAAGCAACCAAAACAGTTGTGGAATATACCTATCATTAAAAATAGGTTAGTTAAAAATAATATCAAGTACTACGGTTACCGCCGTATCACTGCCAGTTTAATCCCATCGAACACATTTGGGGTATATGTAAAACGTATTATGATAATCACGTTGGATGCAGTGGATACAGTGACGATGCAGTTAGGGAAATGTGGCAAGAAGCTCTTAAAACTGCAACTCCAGAAATATGAGCCAAAACGGTAAATAAATGTGAAAAATTAATAGAAAAGTGGTGGATCCAGGAAAATAAAATTAGTGAAATTAATCCAGTGATTATAAATTTACATAATGATAGCGGTAGCTATCCTAGCTAACCAGTATATTTATACATTCATATTAGCCAAATAAACAATAATATTTAAAATTTCATTTGACTTTTTGCTCCCCATTTTATACAAATTAACTTTAACCCAACCATTCTGTCTCCGGCTTCTATATAAAATGTAGCTTCTTCAATTTTTTAAATTTTTAAAGTGTTTGTTTGTCTTTGTTTAGTGTATTTGTTATGTCCCAATTTACATTTATGACATTCTGTTACTGCTGGATAGGCCACAACTGACGAAATGCCCCTGAGGATGATCTTGTGATCGAAAGTATTTGGGCAAGATTTTATTAATTACTGTGTTCGATATTTGCCTTGTGTACCATCAAAGTTAAATTAACTTTAACTGATAATACAGGCAAAAATATTGTAAACAAAGTAAGTATTTAAAAATATTATGGATAACTCCAGTGCAGTTTACCGTGCCTTTTAGTACAACGAAAGATTTTCTGCGAATTCCATTAATCATTAAGAGGTGTAAATTGGTTGAATGTACTGTATCTATTAATTTTAATTCCCTCAACATTAGCCGTACCTGATTCAACACTGAGCGATAGGGTAGAAATTTAAAACATGTTTATCTATTAACAATGGCAATTATTAACACTAATCCTTTAACAACGGGAAAACCAAAACGATCTATTTTGAGACAAGCTATAAAAAAATAACTTAAAAACTAAAGAACTAAAAAGCTGCAGGTAAAGATTGAATACCAAATGAATTGTTCAAATATTATGGACCGGCAATGTAGAATCAACTGGCAATATTAATTAATTAACAAGATTATAAAACAAAATAAAATGGAGCTAATCCTATTATTTGGCAGAGTAAGACTTAAAGATGTAAAACATCTTTTGTATAATAGGAAGATTCCGCTGGATGCTAGATATTACCAAAACAATTAAAAAGAATTTCAAAACAAGAAGATTGTTCAAAAAATGTAATTTTTATTCTAATTCATTGTGGTTTATTTCTATTCATCAAATATTCAGTGTAAAACATTGGACAAACAAAATATTTTTAGAACTATGTAATGTTATTCCGTGTTATTTCTCGAATATATAAGAATTTAAAAATGTAATAACTTTATATTTAGGTCTATTCACGAGTGGTCAAGCTAAACAGTACTTAACTTTCGTTGAGTATATCGTCGTGCAATATTTACAACGGATGCAACATATCTGCCTAAATCGAGGTTTTTATACTGAAAGACGTATCTAGGATAGTTGCATCATGTCGTAAAAAATTAAGAATACCGTTTAAAACAACCTTCAAAGATGTGAAAATATCCGATGCTCCTTTTAGTGTAAAAACCTTTATTTAGGTAGATACGTTACTTTTGAGGTATTTTCGGTTCTTATTTGAAATTAAACTTGAATTTTTTTCAGGGCATCCTAGGATTTTATAAAGGCATAACTGCTTCCTACATGGGTATATCGGAAACGATTGTCCATTTTGTGATATATGAAGCCATAAAAGCCAAACTGATAGCGCACAGATCGCACGTCAGCGATGAAAGGAGTTCAAAAGATTTTTTGGAGTTTATGTTGGCCGGCGCAATTTCGAAAACTGTTGCTTCTTGCATCGCTTATCCACACGAAGTCGCAAGAACTAGGTTAAGAGAAGAAGGAAACAAGTATACTGCTTTTTGGCAGACTTTAGGTCTGGTATACCGGGAAGAAGGTAACTTTTATATTGTATTATAAATGATGATGAATATGAATGATGAATTATTGATACTGGGTCAATTTTGTTACTATAGAGTTTAGATTACATTAGGTATAATTTACAATAAAGATAATATGTGAAAGAGAAAGTAATAAAAAAGAATACACTAAATTTTGTAATACAAGTTCGTTTCTCGAATTAAATATAGTACAAGTTCTAATTGGCTACATTTGTAAGACCTTGTATAGAGTATTTTTTTGTTCTTGCTCGTAATTGACACACTGTGTAAAAATATGTTGAACGGTAAATGATTCACTACACTTTTCACTCACAGGTGATTTCTCCGAAGCCATCAGGTGTCCATGTGTCAGTCGTGTGTGATGAATTCTTTTGCCAGGACTTTTTGATTTGGGACCTGAGAAGTGGCTTTAGATCTGACGCTAGTTGAACAGATTTGATATCTGATTTGGTTGTAATTGCAGTCTTTTGCATCAGTATGAGCAGTCTCATTATCTGAAATGCCAACGTGCGAAGGAATCCAGATTCATGTTGTTTGTTCCAGAAGAAGTGAGACGGTTTGTTGCTTCACATATGGCATAAACTAATGGATTTCGGAATATATATTTTTAATCAAGTCGACGGAGGACATCCCATCTGTACATATTGCAGTGTTCTTGGCTTTAGTTTGGTTACATAAGCATTTTATTGCTTGTACAGCTCTCTTGTATGGATAGAGGTGGATTGTGGAAGGCACAACTTCTGAATGATACTATTTGAAGTTGTTATAGAATATCCGACACTTGTCTCAGTTTTAGATGCATCTGTGTAGATAATCTCGTCATATGAGTTTGTGTTGCTCAGCTTTAGGAAAGATTACCTCAGAATTTGGCTGTTGGTTTCATTTTTGTGATATTTATTAAGTAAAAGGTTAATTTTTGGTATGTTATTATCCAAGGAGGAGTTGATGACAGTATATGAGTATCTGTTATTGAAAAATTAACAGGTCGTGAAGGGGGATGTAAAATTTAAGGTAATCTCTGGTATTTATTGTTAGGCTCACAATTATAGGGTTTGTATATTAGCTTATAAATATATAGGGCTGTTTTAATTCAAAGACACTTTAGCAAAGTACGTCAAAGAAGTTGTTGCCTGCGAAGCGAAAGGGGAAGTTCACCTGTTTCACAGCGAAGACGTTCGGCGGGACTGGATCTGAAAGCTCCGAGACATATTTGTATTGCGGTATTCTGAATAATGCCAAGAGTCCTTAAATAAGTCTTTGATGCTGAGATGTATACAAAGCATCCATAATCCAGTCGAGAGCGAATGAGAGATCTGTATATCTTAATTAGGATATCTTCATCAGCTCCCCAGTGATGGTTTGCTAGAGATTTTAATAGATTTAATTTAGTTAAGCAATTAGCTTTGACTTTTGTAATTTGTGGTTTCTATGTTAGTCGACTATCAAAAATTAAACGTAGTATCTTGTGTTTATTAGTTACTGTGCTAATAAACAAAAAAAATTAATCTTCTTTTTCAGTGCCTTATCCGGTCCGGATGTTGGTGATCATCAAGGCTATCATGCTTTTGTTGACTGCTCTGCGAAACAGCTCTGCGGAGGTCATCCCAAACCATGGTCTTTTAACCAAGGTTTTTTAACCACGAGATACGACGGCGTCCCGGTCCTCTCCTGCCAAATACTTTACCCTGCATAATGAGTTAAAGAATTCGAGTTTTTTCGTTCCGCATCACGTACCCAATGTACTCAAGCTTACGTTGTTTCACTAAATTAAGCACTTCTTTTTCTTTTCTCATGCGCTGTAGAACCTCAACGTTGGTGACATGGTCCACATACGATATTTTTAGTATCCTTTTGTAGATCCATATCTCGAAGGCTTCAATTCGCTTTTCTGTGGCTTGCGTCAATGTCCAGGCTTCAACTCCATAAAGTAACACTGGAAGAATGTAGTATAAGTGACGTCACTTTATATAAATTTTGACGTTCAAGCATTTTTGTATGAAAAATGCTATACTAATTGTCAGAACAAACCAGACACTTTTTGACTGTTAAAAATTTGACACCTATCAAATTGTTAATTTCTCATAGCCTACTGTAAGCTGGCTTATTATACTAAGCAGAAAATGAGGATTTATTAATGAAAAACATGGCTAGTTGTTAAAGTACCTACTTTTTTATTATCCAACATAAGCAAATGAGTCAAAAAACAGAATGTTAAGAAAACCTGAGTTAGGTTTTAATTGCAGTATTTTATAAATGCTAGAATTTACCACATGGTGTTTCGACTTTGTCATCAAGTACTTAGCCTTTCAACAAAACACTGCTGACTGCTGACAAAAGACTGCTGTCAAGCTGACGTATAAAAGAGTTGATCTGGAAAGACAGGACGTAACAAAATACTTGGGGGTGTACATAGATAAGAAAATGACGTGGAAACCTCAAATCGACGACATTGCAGAGAAAGCCACAAAGAGTTGTCGGCTGCTCAAACGTCTCACAGCAACAAAGTGAGGCGCCACGCAAGATGTCCTGTTAGCAACATACAAAATCTATGTCCGGCCGATATTAAAATATGGGAGTGAAGCTACAATAACTGCGAGTACAAACAGCACCTCCAAGCTTGAAGTCGCCCAGAACACTGCCCTTCGCGTCATCACCGGTGCTCCAAAATCAACATCGATTACATCAATGGAAGCCCAGACCGGTATTGAACCAATACAATGCCGCAGAGAGCATCACGCGTTAACCTTCTGGGAAAGGCAAAGACGAATACTTCCACAAAAATGGGACGAATATAGACAAGCAGCCTCACGTCTTAAAACACAAACCACTCCGCTTACAGTAGCAAACCAAATCATGGAAAAATACCACATTGTCCTGTCGGAAGCCGCTCCCTTCCCTGCGCAAACCACACTGGCCCGCTGTCTACCAAACACATAATTACTGCTTGAAAACCATAACGAGCCGAAGCACTTATCGTCAGACATTGCCCTAAGGAAATCCGCCCTAGAGACGATATACACCAAGTACCCAGCACATGAGTGGCTCCACATCTACTGCGATGGATCCTCGATGCCGGACTCGGGAAGAACAGGAGCAGGATATGTCTCAACGTTCTTCAAAGGCTCTATAGCTGTGGGTCTCACCAACTACGACGGCGAAATTGCTGCTATACACGAAGCTGCAAAAAATCTTGAGAATTTCCAACACCCCCAAAAAGTTGCCTTCTTCATCGACTGCCAAACTGCAATCCTCGCCCTGTCGATAAATCGATATTCCGACTGTGCCAAAACAATATCTTGCCGCGTCCAACTATCGAACTTGATGTAAAAAGGGTGGCTGATTACTCTACAATGGATCCCTAGTCATGTCGGTGTTGAAGGAAATCAAGCGGCGGATGAACTTGCAGAAGAAGGCACTACTCTTCCACAGCCCCATAGCTTCCAATCTTACACATCAGCAAAGTCCACCATTAGAAGAGGAATCAAAGCGAAGATAAAAGAGCAGCAAATACAAGCCGGTGCTGGAAAATCTTGGGCCCACCTAATAGAGTCACCAATCCCTCGCAACTTGCCGAGACCCATTAGTGTAGCCGTGTTCAGAACAACTACGGGGCATGACTACCTGGCCTCCCATCTACATCGCATCGGCGTCCGCGAAAATGACAACTGCCCACTATGTGATCAGCCCCAGATGGATGCTGCTCACCTTCCAGAGTGCCCAGCCCTGAAAACAGACCCACCCGAGGAGGATGAAGATCGCCTACGAGAAACGGCTCGTCTATACTGGTCAGCGCGCCAACAAATGGCTAACATGCCAAGGGTGGGCGTTGGCTAGTAAGTAAGGTACACCCAATCTGATTGGTACACCCAATATAAAATGGCAATTTACCCGTCTAGTAACAATATTATTACAGCGGTATTGTTGAATAATAAGGCTGTACCACATTAAAAAAATCACTCAAATCTGAGAACAGGTTTAGGAAACACGAGACATAAAAAGTCCCATTTTGAGGTGGTGCGTTTATTTTGCTGTTGAGTTTATATCGTATAGGTATATTTAAAAAGTACTTATTGTCAGGTTAAAATAAAATATAGATAATTAAAAAATTGTATTTACTCTCTAGTCACGTGGCGTCCGAATTACTTAAATGGGAAAATCTAATTTACATACTATTATCGCAAGCAATAAGTTATTGTTTACTGTTATTTAAAACAAATATTATAGTTGTGTACATATATACTCTGATAACAGAGGAAGAAAATCATAAAAATAGATAACCTCAACTAACGATCGGTCTTTTCTCAAATATGTACAATAAACATTTTATTTAAAAAAATTGTATAATTCAAAAACGCCATTATTTAATCATTGACAGATTTTCATAAACATGTTAACATTGAGTTGGAATTATCAATATTAACAGCGGTAAATACCAGATTTTTAACTTAGTGGGTAAAATATGAACTACTAAAATTACTACTTAACTTAAACAGAAAAATTGAAATAAAGGCAAAATTAAATATAAAGAACTCGATAAAAACAATTATAAAGAGACTCCCTAAGTCAAATAACAGTGATTAGAAGATAGATGCACAGAAATGGAGGAGCTTGAAGAAAAACATAACCACTTCAACAGCATCATTTTGGCTTTAAAACACTGCGTGGGTCCTAGCCTCCTCAAGAATTTCTCTCCAGCCGTCCCTATCCCTCGTCTTCCTGATCCAAGCACTTCTTCTTCATGTACAATGTCCTTTCAGAACGTTGGTTACCGTCATAGCTATCTTAATTTTATTCACTGTCACCCTAAATAGCATGCTTGTATCAACACCATACCAATCTCGCAAGTTCTTCAACCATGAGGTTCTTCTTCGTGCTGGACTGCGTTTGCCTGCTATTTTTCCTTGCATGATATTTTGTCCCTGTATTTGGGACCTCTCATTACATGTCCGAAATACTCCAGCTTTCTCTGCTTGATGCTTTTTATCTCAGTAGTCTTGCTGAGACGTTCTAGTATTCGAATTTTCTCCACACAGGAAACTTTTAAAATTCTTTTATAGCACCACATTTCGAAAGCCTCAAGGCGATTTAGATCGATTTTATTCACAGTCCAGGACTCGACACTATAAAGTAAGACCGAGAACACGTAGCAGCGAGGTAGGCGGATCCTCAATGCCAATTTTAGGTCTCTGTTACATAACACCTTGGACATCCTTCTAAAAGCAGCTCTAGCCTGCTCCATCCTAGATCTGATTTCGCCGTGACTTTCTGCGTTACAATTTAATTGCTGTCCAAGGTAAACGATTTTATCAACTTGGTCAAATTTGGTATTATTTACATATATAGACGGTTTTATATGCTGTTGTTTACTTATTACGAGTATTTTGGTTTTCCTTATGTTCAGATCCAGACCTGCCTTCCTACAACTCTCAACGACACTATCAAGTAGTGTTTGCAGATCTTCTTGACTAGAAGCTAGGAGTACCGTATCGTCCGCATATCGCAAATTATTGATGACTTCGCCTTTCACAAGTATTCCTTCTTGTTTTTCAAAAAGTGGTTTTCTGAAAATTCTTTCGGAGTAAACGTTGAAAAGCAGGGGTGACAAGAGGTATCCCTGCCGTACTCCTCTTTTAATATTGAGAGCCTGTGATTCCACACCATCTACTAAAACTGATGTTGTTTGATTCCAATATAAATTTGCAATTATTCGAACATCTCTGCCGTCCAAGCCAATGTATTTTAGAGTTTAGATCAATATAGAGTGCTTAACACGATAGAATGCCTTTTGGAAGTCAATAAAACAACAGTATATGTCTACAGATATATCCCGACATCTTTTAGCAAGTATGTTCATTCCAAACAGTGCCTCTCTCGTTCCAAAACCTCCAAGCATGTATTCCCATATTTCTCATATCCTAATTACTCCTCATCGATGTTATCAAGGAACCTTGTTCTGGGCCTTCTTCTTCGCTTTCCAATGGGTCTATCAGGAAGCGTTTTTCAGCTGGTCATTTTGTTGCATTCTCATTACATGCGCTCTCTACCTCAGATGTTCTATCTTAATATGTTTTACGATATCTGGTTCCTGGACTTTCCGAGTCTGAATTTCTATCAGTCCGAGTGTATGACCGCGCATTAACTCTATCGTTTTGCTTATTGAAAGTTTCCTCCACAGTAAAAATATTTTCATCTGTAAAAAGGATTTCATTGTAACGCTTTTTACCGTACAACGACAACAGGAACAAAACATCAACAACCGTCTGCATACAGTTTGAAAGGGAAACGAACAAATTTTGAATAAAACCGGGAGGAATACGTTCATATTCTTCACGAAGCATATTTTGAAGTGCTGCAAGACTTTTTGGATGGCCTGGTTGACTTCTAACCTTATGATGAAGTTCATCCCAAAGATGTTCAATGCTTTTCAGATCAGAGTTGCAGGCAGGCCATTCTAGAGTATTAATTACTACTTCCCCCAAGTAATTTGTCACGATTCTTGCAGTATGCTGCCGTGTATTATCATGCATAAAGACGAAATAGTCCCCAATAAATGGACCAAATGAAACTACTGCTTCTACCAAAACATCCTCTATGTGATGAAATAAGTTCAGTTCGAGCATCAAATGAGATTCCAGCCCAAACCATAACACCACCACCACCAAACTTTCTTGTCTGGGACATACAAGCTTGATCCTATCTTTCATTTTTCCGTCTCCAAATCCTCTCTCGACCATCATCAGACTTCAAACAGAACCACGATTCATCAATATAGAGAATTCGCCTTCAATCCTGTATATCCCAGTGTTAATGTTGTTGAGCATAAATTAATCGATTCCTACAGTGTCTGGGTTGTAATTCGGGAACAATAGCCGCTTCTTGTCATTAGTCGTCTTTCATTGAGGCGTCTTCTAAACATTCTCTCACTTACATTCACATTTCGTACGTCCATACTTGACTTCTTCCGTCTTGTATCAATGCAATAATTTGAACAACATCTACTGTAGATAACACCATATCTCAATTATTCACTTAGTTGAAATCAACGTTTGAAAAGCAAAATTATTGTTTAATTAAATGTTTTCATTGAAAATTAAGGCAATTATATCGAGCACAAGTTTAATCAAATCTTGCCCAAGTACTTTCGCTTAATATAGCATCTTCAGGGGCATCTGAAATAAGCCAAAAAAACGTTTTTTAGATGAAGGAAATTAATTAACTTCGATAAAAACTCGAAGTTAATGGATGATAAAAGTTTTTTGTTATTAACTTTTCTGAAAAGTTTTTATCGAAGTTAATTAATTTCCTTGTCCGAAAGTACTTGGGCAAGATTTGATTAAACTTGTGCTCGATATAATTGCCTTAATTTTCAAAGTTCATTTATTCGAGCATTCAACGTCATATCAATTAAATGTTTTCAACTTGAAGATAAACGGCGACTACAAAACTGGCAAAAATATACATGATTGCAATAAATATTTAAATTGAGACGCAATATGAAACAGTGCAGAAAACTTCCAATGAATTTTTCGGAATTTTCGAAAATTTATAGGGTGGCTACTTTTTTTGCCTTTCAGTGTATGTATAGATCAGTTTAATATGTTAGATCTTCTATAAAGCTTGGGGTGGTACATTAAACCATTTTGCGAATTCTTTTGTTCTACTGATGTAGTTTTTGATTATTAATATCATTCATTCTTTTTAGGTGTACGAGGAGTATACAGAGGTTTAACAACCCAGCTAGTAAGACAAATACCTAACACCGCCATAATGATGGCGACATACGAGGCTGTCGTTTACATCCTAACCGCCAGATTCAATACAGAATTCTACGGGAAAGAAGAAGAACATTAGTATTTCGAAAGAATTTTCTTAAGTCTTAAAACAACGAGAGGGTGCTATCAAAATGAAAGGGTTTTAACGCGTTATGTATTACAAGAAGGCTTTACTTAAGTACCTTTATATATATATTTTTGTGAATCTTTGTATAGAAAATCCAGAGTATCCAGTAGGACTTCTTAAAGTTAGATATGTGTATAAATGAGAAGAATTGACAAATTAAAAACCTGTTTAAGTTTGGGAATGTATATATAATAATTAGAAAATTTAAATATTATAATTTTGTTATTGTGTAAAAAGAGAAAAAATAAAATATCAATTTAAAGAAAACTATTTTTCCTGAACACTATATGATCGGTGCAAGTGTGTAGGCAGTAACTATAACTATTAGAACATCTAGATTTCTAATATAAAAATATTGTTACAGGTAGAACTAATATTTTTGTGTCGATTGTAGATATTTATGAGTTTGGGCTTTGAACTCGGTGGAGTTGTAAATATTCTGTAAAACCATTCTATTCTGAATGTTCGTTTTAAATTAATTCGTCAAAAAACCGAACTCAAAACCGTAAGTTTTTAATAAAAGTATGTAGTTTGTGCTCACATCCAGCGGTGTCAGATTTATATAAAGTAAAATACTTATTCCATCCAACTGGGGTCATAAATAAAACGAAGCTACGGTTTGACCCATTTAGATTTGGAGCAAACACAATTTTAAAGTTTAAAGTCATCCGATTTAAACCAAAATTTTATAAATGACGTGTAATATTTTTTAAAAGGTAAATGAGAAATTCTATTAGCAATTTTGTTATTAAAAGTCACTTCACTACTGGATTTAGATAATTATGATCAAAATTTCATGCAAATATATTCATCAATAACGAAATGAGAACACTTGGAAATCCATATTCACAAACATTCTGTATAAATAGTCATTGAAAATTTAGATTTCGAATAACAAAGTAATAAAAGATATTTCTGGACAAACTTCTTTAACTCATTTAAGGTTTGTGGTGCCCGTTTAAAAACGGCAGTTAAAACTACCGTTTTAGCCATGCCCCAAATGTATGCGTCTGAAGAATGTGCAGGATAGGGGAAGTCAGTAAATCGTGAAATGAGTTTGTTTGGAAATTGTCCCTGAAGAAATTGACGAACTGCGAGAGCAGTATGGAAAGTTGCACCATCCCGCTGAAAAAATTGGTCTCGAAATGCCAAATTACGTACACGACGAAATTTTTTATGTGCATAATTATACAACGAAGACGACTTGGTAGTCGGGGGAAAAAGATAAAACGTGGAAACTGGCAAGTTGATTCCGCAAGCTTCTAACGATTGACATTGCGATTTGTTTATCGTCATTGCAAAAGCCAAACACACGGGAAATTGTAGATGCCCAAAATCAAATGGTAAGTCAATTGGAATCATCGATATACGCGAGATCAAGACGTATTTTCTCTTCTTCTACCTTGATGGTAGTTATCTCAAAGACATTATTCATCAGCTTTTTCAAAGCCAGTCTCGTTCCATTGTACAGTCGAGGTTGATTAATATTACACAGCATAATTTTAACTGATTTTTCCTACTTTTTAATTGTAAATTTTGAGTTGTGGGTCCAGGCCATTCCAACGCATTTAAAAATCCCCTCTGTGCGATAGTTGGCATTGTGTTGTGCTCGCTGTTTTTGTGTTCGATGTGCACGAACTTGTTCAGCTATTCTACACGTATCCACTTCATTTTTTGTGACTCTAGAACACAATTGTGCCATGTCAATACAAATTATTTTCCTTTTTTATCAGTGTACTAAGCAAGTGATGTAGCTCGTCGGGCATTGACAATGACATATTTGTTAAACATGAATGGTGCGTTCAGAAATTTTCCTAGAAAGATAATCAAATTATATAAAAAGGTACCTATGTCTTGATAATAAATAAAATAAAAGGATAAATGACAGCCCAATCAATTTACTCAGTACGCTACGACTCTTTTATTTATATTAAAAAAATAACCTCAACCTAAAACTGCACATGTGTATTAAAGTAAATAAACGTGGAGATAGCCACGGTTTTAGTGACACCAATCCAAAGGAGCATATAACTGGCATAGGGAAAATAAAATTAAAATTAAAAATAAAATGTTTTTACTATTTTTCTTACAATTTCATCATCTCACCTTTTAAACCTTCCTGGGATTTCCTCAAATATTTCAAAACCAAAATTTGTGAAGTCGAGACAAAAAAATTACAGGCTAGAAGATATACACTGATTAGTTATTTATTTTTAATTGTTTGTTAAATAATTTATATAATTTAAACTAACACAATGTAAAAATGTGACGCCACGTCATAAGCGGGTATACTGTTCACTGCAATACCCAGTACGACATTTGAATCGTGGTTACTGTCAAACGCGAAATTTAACTAATCGTAAAATTTTTTGAGGTTGTTCAATTTTTTGTGCAATTTTCTTAAATTTACTTTACCGTAAGAATATTCTACAATCTAAACAGTATTACAAAAATGAATGAAATCGATTTTGTCGTTCTCAAGTTATGTCGTGAACTTAATTTTAATTTAGATCTTAATTGCCTGTATCGCATTGGGAAATGGTCATTAAGCCATTACTAAGCTCATAATATATAAAACTAAACATCCAATTCAATCGTTTATTTTAAGGTGGTCAATGGTCCAAAAGGTATAGTTAAAAGTTGGAGGAAAGTTGCTTATACCACATCGAAAATTGATTATTCGAGAATCCTTGCTTTTACCATTTATTACAAAATGGGGATTATTTGCTGTCCAATATCGACAAACTTGTGTCGCACTTTTTGTACTTAATGTAAAAAAATTGGTTGAAATCGGTAAATAACTTCAAATTTTACAGGGGTGTTTACAATCTAAATGGGTCACACTATATACAGTATACTCCCTCTATAACGAACACGGTTATTACTAGGTTTCGCTTATAGCGAGGTACATTAGATGTCCCGTGAAATTTCTATTGAACTATAACCTATAGCGAGGCAAATTTGGTTATAACGAGAGAAAACAAAATCGAAAAACGTGTTTTTACGTTTTTGAGCTGGCCATGGTTATAAATAAATACCCGTTTTAACTGCCCCGCAATAAACTTCTTTAAAATAAATACAACTTTTTCACATTTTTAGAAAATATAATAGATAAAATAATCCTGGACAATTTTAAAGCAATAAAAAATGACAGACTTCTTGCAATTCCAGAAGCAATAGTTTATGTTATCCTTGAAAATACGCTATATACAGTATGTAGTTCCAAAAAAATGTAAGTACAGATTTTTTGTTTTAACATGTATCATTGACAATAATAGTAAACAACTATTTTTTGTTTTAATGTATTTCATTGACAATAAAAGTAAACAACTTTTTTTCAAAAACGCCATTCAAACAATATTTATTAGCATCTTATATTGCTCCGAATGGCTTCGCTATAGAAAGTTAATGTTTTAGAAAACTATATATTCATCTGTATGCACAGTATTATTGTTGTCTGATATCACGAGATCAGCTTATAATGAGGTAATTAGTCTGCCATTTCAGTTCTCGTTATAGAGGGAGTCTAGTGTATTAACCTAATCAATTACTATGTAACTCCATACGTTCAGTCCTACAAAATAAAAAAAAATCGATTTAACAGTCGATCCTTAAATATTTGTAAATTATGGAAATTATAACAAAACAAAAAATTAATTAAGTGAGCAAAATCGGGATATAGAATCAATTTTTTTAATGAAAATTGATAAAAACTGTAGTAAAAGTATTTTTGTTCTTATTCGCCTTATAAAGATCCAGATCCTTATAAACCTTCCTATATGCTATTTTAGTATTAACTATAATATTTCTTGCCAATATCTTAATATTAAAGAATTTTAAACATTTTTACCAATATTTTGAACTTTTAAAAGTTGATTGCCTGGTTAGTTTCATAAATATGTATCGTTCTCTATGCATCTTTTGTTGTAGATTTGTAGAACATTTTAGTGAGCTGTAATTAAAGGCCAATTTGAATATTCTTGCATAGTTTAAACATTACCAAAAAATATAAATTATCCACATCTCAGACTGCAATTAACTGAAAAATCGAAGAGCACATCATAATGGTCACACACGCACACTACTGTACGTTAAGCTATTTGAGCATCTAATATACTTTTGGTACGCCGCCATGTCTATTTTTTTATACCGTTGAATTGTATTCGTTAAATTATATCACGCGACACCTCATACGTCACGATCGGACCTATAGGAGCGAAGATACGTCGGTACATACTCTTTGTACATGCCGCTACATTTGATTTTATGTCATCAAATTTCTCATCCCCTCCCCTTTCCAACGATGCCTCATACGTCACGGTCAGAGAAATATTTCAATATTTGAGCACTTTTAATTTTTAGAATTATCGACAAAGGGGCAATAAATACATTGAGTTAATAGGTTGAAATCAGTTTATTAGTGATAGTAACCATTGATTAAATTTAACAAAGCTTCAAGTTTGCGTAATAATTTCTTATATCTATGATGTTTGATTATGATAATTTTCTTAATTCGTGGTTATAGTTTTATCAAATTTGACTTTTTTTGCTATTCTTGACCTGAGGTCAATATCAAAGAAAATGTGCGATAGTATATTAGAATTTATCGAAAATAACTAAATTTGTGAATTTATACAAACACTGTCTGTGAAAAATGAATATAGAAATAAGAAAAGAATGAGTCTGTAAGAAGCACCGTTTAATATTTTGCCTGAATTTCTAAAATCAATCTATCTAACAACTTAATTGATAATCTGGAGTTATAAGTTAGTAATTAAATGTCAGGTATTAGAGTAATAAGAATTTAAATGTTTAGTAATTTTTATTCTTATTTAATACACATATTTTTTTCTTCTTCTTTAAGTGCTCTCTCCGCTACTGAAGGTGATCCGTCATTAAAGCAAATTGATTTCTTGGCTTTTGCAGATTTTTGTAGTGAATATATATCCATTCGTTTCAAATCTCTTACATTCTTTCTACAGGATAAGTTTCTTCCATATGACATTTTTCCTTCATACTTCCTCCCAAATATGAGACGTCAAAGATTATGGTATTCTTCTCAATGTATTCAAACTTAGGTACAAACTATATTCACTTGTATAGAAAGGTCATCCTGTTGTTTTAGATTCCGCATGATGCCTATTACTTTTGTTTTCTCTGTATTGAGTTTTAGTCCCTTCAATACTTTCAACTATAAAAATTTAGTCGTCAGGGTATCTCTAGTTACCTAG